AAGAGAGAGAGAGAGAGAGAGAGAGAGAGAGAGCAAGTCAGAGAGAGAAAGAGAACGAGAGAGAGAGAGAGCAAAGAACAACAGGAAAAGCAAGAGACTAGTGCACATTTTACATTTAAAATTGCTAACCCAGTAGCAGCTATCTTGCTCATGCTTTACTGTAGCTGACTACAATCATGGGTAGTCAGGTTTTTCACACAGTATTTGTAACTCTGGGTTAACGTTCCTATTGGCATATTAATGGTTAATAATGTCAACTGAACAAATACAGCACACAGTGAGCAAAAAACCTGGAGAAAGCTACGTGTAAGCCAAATCACCTGAGCCATTCATGTCATGTGACTAATGATCACTCTAGAGCTGTAGGAAAATGACAGTGCTGATGGCACCACAAGAAAGGATGGGAAAATGTATCAATGGAAATGCTTTTTGGTGTAGTTAGGGTAGGCCATATACCAGCATGGGCCAGCTGGACAATGATAACCACCACAAACTTGGACATTTTTTGGTTGTTCACTGTTCAACATTTGTCATGCCCTCAGACTATGAAACAAAAGAGTTTCTGTGAACATAAAAAGTTCACGAATATTTAATAATTGCAATATTTTTTGATAAGTAATGTCCTACACTTCTACGTTTCACAGTATATACTCTACTTTTGGGACTATAAAAGTTAGGCTTCATAAACTAGGGTTAAATATGTTGCTAAGGTCGGTTAAAAGCTGCCTTATTTCTGCGCTACCTGTTTTCAAACAGGTTTCCCAAACACTCCTACCATTAACCAGACAAACAACCACTCCCCAAACGTTATTGGTTGTGCTAATGTTGCCATGCAGGGCCATTTGGGATGCCAAACAAAGAAAGCAATGTTTTGAAAGCACCACAGAGCCAAAGCGTCTTTACATTTTAGGGAAAATTTGGTTTACTTAAAGTTGTCTCTGCATATTAAGCTGGGATAAGAGAAGGTATTTAACCTCAGAAAAATTACATGCTTCAGCTTTAACTTGGGATTTAAAAGATAAGCAAAAATGAAAATTAAAAATAAAATGCTGACAGGTAGAGGACGAGAAGATTCTCATTAAAATAAGGCTAAAGGAGTAATTCTGGTAATGAGGATAGCAGTGGATACAGATGAAATCTCCCTGAGAGAACCATTACCACAGTCATTTACTTTCTTATAAACAGATTGGTTTATCTGAAAACCACCATTAACATTTTTATCAGCCAAGGCAATGAACAGTATACTGAAGAGAAGTTCTGTAACAAGCAAGCCAGCATCTCCAATGCACATGATAACCAGCAGCACTGGTTTAAAGCAATGCTTTAATCAATGCTGCCATTAACACTAAGGCACGAAGGAGGGTGAAATGGGCCGGTCTGCAGCTGTAAATAAGCGACTGTTATGGCAGAAGGAAACTGGTTGTAAAGCAGTCTTTCAATCCGATAGTTTCACGGAGGGAAGTACACAGAGCCAAGGTTAAACAGATTCCTGTCCCGTTATTTTAGGGAATGAACTTGCTGGTGTTTCCCACTGTGAGACCGGCAGAAGCTCACATGAACAAGAACACATCTCAAAGTGAGTCCCGGTGCTCCTTAGTCCCCAAATGAGCGCCCCGTGACTTCACTCACAGCTATTTATCATGCGTCACTGTTTCTTTTCCCTCGACCCATTATTTTCCCAACAGCTCTGACACTGTGGTTTTGTCTCTATTAATGAGCAAGCGCTTGTTTGGCTGATGCATCACTTCACTGTAAAACCCAACTATGCCACCCTCAGCGTTCACACAGCATTAAACGGACACACACACACACACTCATGCGGCTGTCATTCATGAGCGCTGCCTCCTCCCCTCGCAAGCAGGTTGCCAATGTACACATACATGCGTCCACACACCCACACACACACATCTATCAAACAAAAACACAAATCCCCTGACTTTGTCCCTAACTCTTAAGAAGCAGTTAACAGTTGCTGTTTCAGCCTGCTAGAGTTAAGCTCAAGTGAAGTGTGTGTACCTCTTAAGAGTATATGAGCCCAGGTTGTCCCCGTCCCCAGCATCCCGCTGATAAACAGCAGCATTCGGCTCTCTCTACTGTCTGCTCTCTATGCAGTGCCTATAACTGCGCAGGTACTGGAAGACTGCCATTACAATTGTCAGCCAACAGGGGGAGTCAGCTGCTGAGAAAAGCTGTCATGCATCAGACAGAAGGGTCCGTGAGTTCATCATCGCCTTGCGGACTGATCCAAAGACTGTATTTTGGGTTTATTTGAATGTTTTTAGAGGAAGTTTAGATTATGAATCACACAGCTGGGTGGAAAAGGGATGGAATTGTGTTGTTAATAAAAAATGAGGCACTTCACAAGCATATGGAATACTTAACAGCCCTGAAACACCCGAGGGCTGTTGTGTAATGCTCTAAATTGAGTTATATAGTACTGTACGGGACTGTAAAAACTTCTATATCTTATTAGAGGAATTTATGATAATTGACAACACTACCAAGGCAAAAGGAAAGAGGTAAATAAAGCAGGAAGTTGTGACGATGTTTGTTGTTGATGTGCAGTTGATAGGAGTGTTTTTAAGAACCTTTTTATGTTTTTTTTCTAAGGTGTTCTGGTTGGTTCAAAAGTTGTGGGTCAGT